TCAAACAAAGTCAAATTTCTTGGGCAAAGCTAGAAAACTCAAACAAACAGGCATTAGTTTTTTCCTTGAAATAGTTTGGTCTTTCCGAGAAAAGCGACCTTTACGATTTAACTTTTAGACTCAATTTCATGCAATTTAGCGAAGCCTAATTGGGTTGAAAATCGACCATTTTCATTCGCATTTCGCAACTATTGAGCGCAGAAAAGTTGTAATACAACCAGCTTATTGCAGAGCTATTCCTTGCCTAAAATAGGACGATTTCAAGAATGTTGGATTATTTAGCGGTAAACAAACCAGAGTGTTCTCCAAAATTGAGTTAGTCGGTGAAAAGAATTGTCATTTTGACCATGTGCCATGTCTCGGAATTCCGAAAGATTTTAGATTCTAACTATACTAGGATAGGTCTTTCAGTATATGTAAGGTTCAGTTTGGGCAAATGATTAGGCACTCGTCAAAAAAATTATTCAAAATCGTTCACAAAAGACACAAAATCACGCCAGCAGACTCCGAGTGCGTGATCAAAAGTATTATCATCGTATCGGCATATTACTTCAGTTCCAAACGTCAGCATCACCAAGCAGTATAAATGACATACACACAATAATAGCGTGTTCACCTATCTCGGCTTGTCATATCCTGAATCTTGCAAACTGATTCCTTCCCTGCATATAATTTTCAGCGACGTTCTTGTCAGTACTCATATCCGACTTTGAAGGAAAACAATTACTGTCAAGTCCCAGGTATGTATCATCTATATACACTTAATGTGTGGTTCCGAGGGAAACAGTTAGTTTTGTTTTCCTGAGAGTCCTGATGTTTCCCTCGACTTCGCGTCAGGAAACATCAGGACTCGAGGGAAAACAAAACTAACTAGTTTCCCGAGGGACCATACATTAAGTGCTTTGTCATATATTTAGACATATAGCAAAAACAAACAAACAAAGACGGCACAACTTCTGTATTCACAACCGTCAATCCTGCTGAGTGAATAAGTCTTAACTTAAGCTTAAATACAAATGTTTCGAAGTACATGAAAAAAGTAAAATATGCTTTTATGACCTCAGAAACGAATACAAAATCATTTGGAATTGTAAAAATTGATGGTAACATTTGCTTCAGAAAATGCTCCTGCGTTAAAGTTTACAGTCTCCTGGCTATGGGATCCGAAATTCTGCATAGTCACAGGGGAGTTTGGCACTGTGTTTCTACCAAGAGAATTTTCACTTGTTAGCTCATGCATCGCCACAATTGCAGTGCTAGTTGACTCAAGATTTTCAACAAAACAGGCACTACTGAGAGCGTGGGAGATTTCTTTCTGCTTAACCTCCGAAAGACGCCTGGAGTAAGAGCGAATGCTGCTCTCAGATTTGTGTCCCGAGACACGCATTAAGTGGCGAGCCTCAAAATTGTACTCATCCTAGAGCGACACGGCCGTTGCCCTAATACAGCGACTAGTACACTTTTGTGAAAGTTTCAGCTCTTTAAAAATTGAACTCATGAAAGTTCCTAGCTTATTTTTCCCGAGGGGCACATTACAATACCAGACTTCATCAGAGTGGCTAAAATTTTCCATCGCTCGTGGCCTTTGCCACAAGCATGACAGTGCTGGATTTAGCTTAGATAGATAAAGTTCAAAAGTTTTAACTGGATAGTAGGGACTCCCAGGTCTTTCCTACGTACGTCCTTCCCCTGGAGAATCATCTAGTTGATCGTTAGCCCTGTGGTTTTTGTCCAGTTTATCAAAAACTTGATAAACAAACTTTTTCCCAGCTGCGTCAACCTGCACGGCGAACGATTCTTTAGTGAGGAGTCG